CATGGCGCGAGCAAAGCAACTTTGAACTTTACCGCCAGGAGACTTCCCTGCGCAGCACAATCGAGACTCATTGTCCCAGCCGCAGCCAGCTGGTGCTCCATTCACTGATGAATGCAGTGCCGAAAGTGAAACGGTCCTTCGCCTGCCATTAGGTCCCGGCGTGGGTGCGGCGGTGCGGTGTCAGGCAAGGGGGACGCTTGAATAAGTCATTGCGTCCTAGCGGCGACACGTCAGCCTGCGTCCGCCTCGATGGCCTTGATCGCTTCCACGCCACTGCTCCGGCGAACCGCTCGGTGTCGCGGGCAGGCAGCCCTGTCAGACGGAACTGCGATGCGAACTCTCCGACAGGGCGGCGAGCCCCCTTACGGTGACTGGGTATAGCCCTTAATGGTAATGGTAATGGGTAGACAGTGCCGTCAGACACGGCTGCGTCCTGGACGGCCTGCCCGCCAGGCGGCGTGGCCCCTTACGGTGGCTGGGTAGGCAGGCCTGTCAGACACGGCTGCGTCCTGGACGGCCTGCCCGCCAGGCGGCGTGGCCCCTTACGGTGGCTGGGTAGGCAGGCCTGTCAGACACGGCTGCGTCCTGGACGGCCTGCCCGCCAGGCGGCGTGGCCCCTTACGGTGGCTGGGTAGGCAGGCCTGTCAGACACGGCTGCGTCCTGGACGGCCTGCCCGCCAGGCGGCGTGGCCCCTTACGGTGGCTGGGTAGGCAGGCCTGTCAGACACGGCTGCGTCCTGGACGGCCTGCCCGCCAGGCGGCCAGGCCCCTTACGGTGGCGTGGCCACACTGCACTAACGGCCTCACATATGGCTGCAGTGCCGTGGCGCCGGCCCGGCCGGGAGTCGAACTCGGACAGACCGGCTGGCCAGTGCGTCGGCGCGGCGGGACAGTGACCTTGGCGACCGCGTCGGTCGGTGCCGCGCTGACCGCGTTGGGGAAGGACAAGGACTGGGCGGCGCAGGCTGCTCAGGCTCCGCTCGCTGGCTGTGCTGTTCTCACCTGAGGGCAGCCGGCGCACCTGTCGGCGGCTCGTCACCTCGGACACGACGTGCTCCGTGTAGCGCTGGCCGCGCCGCGGCCCCGGCAGCACCGCCATCGCGCCGCTGTGGGTCTTGGCGTCCTCGGGGATCAGTGGCCGCAGCGCGCGCTCCGGGCCTGCACTGTACAGGTTGCTGGCGACGCTGCTGCCGACGCTGGTGGCGGCTCGGCGTGCAGACTGCGGGACTGCTTGTCGGCGACTGGCGAGCTGGTTGGCGGTCGCGAACCGCGGCACTTCCATACGAGTCTTGTTGGCGAGGACCGCTCTGGCGTGGGCCCGACGGCTCGGCGGCCCGACGCCGGGGCGAGGGTGGGCGTTCAGCCTCCAAGCGACCTCATCCCGACACGGTGGCAGCGATGCGGAGAGCGAGAGAGAGAGAGAGAGAGAGAGAGGGGGGGGAGCCCCACCCTGAACGCATTATCCGAAGGTTCGGTTACCCCAGGCCGACTTCGGCCGGGCACCCGGGCACATGGGCGTTACTGTCAGTAAAAAAAAGTTTGGGTACGGGCCCTGAGTGCAGCATTTAGGTTTACTAATGTTTGATAGCTGAAGCAAAATGACAAAAATTGTCTGAGCGAACTGTTAACAATGTCATTTTATTCATCTATTTGCATGGGTACCACCACACTTAACAAAACATAGACTCTATACTTAGATGAACAAACACCTTTGTCAGGTATAACTAAATAAAATTCTTATATTGATTACATGTTTTGATTTCATTTATAATAAAGTGATTATTATACTAATGATTAATTATATTAACCTTTACAATTGATACTAACATAAATAAAATAAACAAACAATAAAAACCAAAACAAGACCGACTACATCAGTCGGAGTGAACCTCCGCGCGCGCGCACACACACACCGGCTCACGCACCCACATCCTCACAAGGCGCACAGATGTTGGCATTTCCCTGCAAACAAGAATGAACCCCAGCGAGCCAGCCGCCGATAAGCAGCTCCAGTTTACATCTCTTTGTTCCCTCACACTGCGCGCCCAGGCTCGGCCAGGCTGCATCAAAATTCATTTCTCTATTTAAAACAGCAGCAGCCTCGCTTTGGCCAATGAAACTAATAACGTGCATAAATCTAAATCACAGCATAACTACTAAATAAAATAAAACGGGTTAGCACTTGTAACTGATTAAAACACTGGTCAAATAATTGACTGATAAAAATAGCGATCGTCTCTTACTTCAAAGGCGCCCTTGAAGGCACTCTGGCACTTGTCTTTTCACGGCGCGACCAGGCCCAACTCCAAGTCCCAGTTGTTGGCGACCACGAGGTCCTGCAGCTCCGACATCTGCGTCTCCGAGACGTCCCACTCCCTGAGGTCGTAGAGCGCGCGCAGCTTGGGGCAGCCCAGCATGAGGGCGTACACGGTGTCCATGGTGAGGTCGCACGGGCACGCCATGTAGAAGCTGGCCAGCTCGAGCAGCGGGTTCTGCCCCATGACCCTCCTCATGACGGCGTCCGTCCAGGCGGGCGCCGCGTCCCCGGTCATGCCCGGCGTCACCGACACCTTGCTGAGGGCGGTGGCGTGCACCAGCACGTACTCCAGCAGCGGCCCCGGCCCCGAGTACAGGTGGAACTCCTGCAGCTGCCGGAAGGGCGCCTGCCGCGCCGGGTGCACGGGCACGGGCTGCGGCTGCGGCCCGGAGCACCACATGGCCAGCTTGAGGACGCGCAGCGCGGGGCACTGGCGGCCCAGCTCCACGGCGTCGGCCACGGTCAGGGCGTGGTCCATCATGTCCAGGTGGCTGAGGTTGGCGTGGAGGTGCAGCGGCACCCGGGTGGCGTGGTCGCGCAGGCCCGCCCAGCTGACGCGCAGGCGCTCCACGGCGGCGGGCAGGTGCACGCCGGTGGGGTCGGGCACGACGAGGACGTCGGTCAGCGCCACGGACTCCAGCCGGGGGCACAGCGCGGCCTCCTCCTCGTCCGGGGCGTGGTCGCTGTCCCACTCGACGAGGGAGAGCAGCGTCGGGGGCCTCGCCGCGGCGCGCACCACGGCGCCCAGCGAGGGGCAGCTACCGATGCGCTGCAGCGCGGGCAGCTTGCTCAGCAGGTGCTCGTAGGCGTTTTCCGAGACGCGGCAGCCCGTCAGCAGCAGCACCCGGAGCCGCGGGCAGCCCGATGCCAGCGCCACCACGCCGCGGTCCGAGAGGTGCGTCGACTCGGACGCGTCCAGCTGCTCCAGCGAGGGGCAGTGCTGGCCCAGCGCCACGGCCATGGCGTCGGAGCACAGCCAGGGCGCGCGCACCGTCACCAAGTGCCGCAGCGTGGACAGCGCCGCCACCGCCACGTCCACGCTCGTGTGCACGTGCATGCTGTTGGTCAGCGTGAGGTCCCGGAGCATCGGCAGCGCCTGGGCAGAACACAGCACTTAGAAGCCGCCGCGCGTCCGCCCTCCCGCCCACAGTGGGCCAGAAACCGGCGGAGGCGGCCAAAATTCGAGACGTGTTTTGAGCTCCAGAGTCGCTGCGTGTGACCATGGTGTCGTTCGGAGAGCAATCCGTTGGTGGGGTACCAACGGATTGCTCTCCGAACGAGGACTCCATTGGTGGGGTCACACGCTCGGTTCGAGTCCCATTTAGTGACTCTGGAGCTGAAAACGCGTCTCGAATTTTGGCCGCCTCCGCCGGTTTCTGGCCTATTGTGCGGCCTCGGGCCGATTGTTGGACGCCTACCTGGATGTGGCGCAGCAGCGCCTGCCGCAGGGGGTAGCTCTCGGCAGTGGGCAGGGCGAAGCGCCGCGTGCTGGGCGGCAGCAGGGCGGTGAGCAGCTTCTCCAGGGCGCGGCGCGCGGGGTGATTGTTGCGGTAGTTGAGGAACACGTCCATGCTGCGCAGCGCCGCCGCCAGGACGCCGCCGGCGACGCTCTCGGGCAGCGAGCACATGGCGTCGGCAAGCCAGCGCAGTCGCCGCTCGTGCCGCTGGGAGCTCGTGGACATGACGAGCCTGATCTAGAGGGTGGGATAGGGGAAGGTCAGGGGCGGGCCAGGGAGGGGGCCCCTTGGGGGGGCTTCCAAGTGAGGGGGAAGGTGGGCCCGCTGGAGTCGGGGCTCCGGGGGAGGCACGGCCAAAGGCATGTGCAGCAGAGATCGCGCTAAAATTCAACGACCCAACCCTTTTACAGTGCACCAAGCCCTTGCGGACGTTTCAGTTCGCCGCTATGCACTAACGAGACCCACAAACGCAGACGTGTTCAAAAACGTCGCCATTAAGAGAAGGTTGAGATTGCTTACTGGGGAACCACTCGAATTTTTCTGGGAACTATTCAAAGGGTCCACTAAGGCACAGAGCACGGTGCTCGCCCAGCACTGAATTGATTCGGGTGTAGAGGTGAGGGAAGGGTAGAAAACACAATCCGTTAGTCCAGGGCTCGCCACGGGCATCAAGCAACATCCAGCAAGCGGATTCCGAGAGTCGTTTTCGACGCCCCGTCTCTCTCGCACCTATGTGTAGCGGCCCATGGGTGAGAGAGAGAGAGAGAGAAACAGCGAGCGACGAAAACAACTCTCGGAGTCGGCGGCACATACGCACTACGTACCTGGTAGGTGATGAGGCGCGTGGACGCGCGGAGGGCGGCTTCCTTCAAACTTGGGGGTTGCTTTCGGGGAGGCATTTCCACTTCGCTTCCGTTCCTGTGCTCCGCTGGGCGATGGAGTGGCGTCCCTTCGTGCTTATCGGCGACTACAGTGGACTACAGCCCCTGGCGGCGTCGCGTGGTGTTGTCCTGCTGCCTTCCCTCACGGCGCTGCGCCTTCGGTTTGTTGTCGCGGTGCGATTGTCCGGCCGCGATCCTAGTTCATTGTTGCCGCGCCGTTTACAGGTGGTTGTCGTCTGCTGCGCGTAAACAAACGGGAAAAGTAGTGCCAACCTAGGCCCTGCACTGTCGGTGCTTATCTTCGGCCACTGCTCCGTTTCTTCGGGCGATATCAGTGGTGCAGCGGATAAAACGATCGCTATTCATGCTTTGCTAAAGTTTTTCAATTCATGAAAGGCTCCTTTCTAAGCACAATAATTCGAGTTATTGTAGTGGATGCTTACTTTGTTTCTGTTCCGTTCTGCCGATAATCGAAAATGGCTGCCCCTTGGGATAAAGAAACGTTGTGTCAAGCGATAAAAGAGGATCCTGCGTTTTGTACAAGTTGTCCGAGTGTTTCGGCTGGTGCGTACTATGACTCTGTAAACGGATATATTTTTGGGAAAGTGAAACCAACGTTTGCCAGTCAATTTGTGTCTGGCCTGGGCACCCCATGCAGAGGCACTCAGGCCCAGCAAGTACATTTCATGAATCAAGTCATTTTTCTTTATTTACTTGCTTCAAATGTTGGCTTTTCTCTGTTCACTTTAAATTATTTCGTCTCTTTCATGTACCGTTCCATAGTCACACTGACACCCTGTCATTTGAATGGGAAATGTCAACATCGCCAGCCTAGCCCCACAAGGTTTCGGAATCCATTTTTGGTTAATGTAAACTTACATTATTTTTGTTGATTTCAGAAATCCTCGCTCGTCGTCTGCCGCTTGTCAAGCTTGTTGAGTTTCTCAAGGACCTCCTCACTGACCCAGAGCCTTCACAACGGGCGCAGGGTATTCTTGTCCTGTCGTCTGCTCTAAGAGACTTACCTGCAGACTTTTTGCGAGAAGATGAAGTGCGTTTCATCATTGAGTTCTTTTGTGATCGACTCAAGGATCATCATGATGTCATTCCAGCCGCCTTAAAAGGAATCTTGACTATTGTAAGACCAATTGTTCCACACCTGTGCCTGGAGAAAATGCTCTTGGAACTTAAATCTAATTTGTAACTCTGTCCTCCTATGTGTCCCAGATCTCTATGAAAAATTTCCCCAAAGAACTCCCTTCACAAATATTAAGCACATTGATGTTGAACATAACATGTCAGTCGCAGCGTCAAGAAGATAGACGAACCATATATCGTATCTTGGATGCTTTAGTGGTGCCACACTATGAAGGTATGTCTGATTCTTCATAGTATGCACATATTTACAATCATTATTATTATCATTATGTCCCTATCTCATTCTTTGTTCTAGATCTTAAATGCATGGGGCCTGATCTTGTTTATCACATTATTACTTCAATTGATGGGGAGCGAGATCCTCGTAATTTGAATTACCTATTTTCTATGTTGCCCGCTATATTGAGAACAGTGTCATTGGGTCACTTGACTGAAGATTTCTTTGAAGTGATGGCTTGCTATTTCCCTGTAGATTTTCAACCTGTAAGTTTTAGCATTTATCTGTAATCTTTTTGTTCCAATGTGTTCAAGACTAAACATTTTATCATTTTTCTCTGATAATCAGGCAGCTGCAGATCCCAATCAAATCTCGAGGGAAAAACTGGCATTTGGACTTTCAGAATGCCTCACAGCTATTCCAGAGTTTTGTGAATTTTCCATTCCCTTGCTGCTAGAAAAGTTGGATTCATCATTGCGTTTAGCTAAACTGGACTCTTTACAATTACTTGTGAGATACATAATAATTTAAAATGATTGTTAGCCCATTATTGGGAATTACAAATCTATGAATCGTTGTGGTATCTCCTCTGATTTTAGATGAAAGGCTGTGTAGTTTTCCATCCCAATGACCTAGCAGTTCATTTAATACCCATCTGGATGAGCTTGAGCCGTGAGGTACTTAATGGTCTAGACTCCGAAGTTAAGACAGCTGCCAGGGAAGCACTTACCATACTTCTCCGCAACCTCGCTGAATTGCCTTCAGATGTGGCAGGGCAGCTCAGTCCTATGAGACAACTGCTTGGTGATGTGATCTCTGCGTCAGTTTCTGCATTGGGTCAAGTGCAGACTGCGTTGTTCATGCCCTCGCTAGAGCTTCTACTTGCTGCAGCCAAGTCTTGCCGAGAGGCTTGTCAACATGTTCTTACGACGGTTAGTCCTCATGAACTTACTTGGGAAACTAACTTAGCCGAGGAGTATTAGTAATTATGTTTATGATTTATCGTAACAATTCAGGTTTTCCCCTTATTTATTGACAACTTCAAAGGAAAGACAGAAGTAGGTGATAAGACTGTGTACCTTTGCACCATGTCAAGATTTCTTGCTGTTTGCAAAGAATTAAAAGTAACTCCAGAAAGTATGTATTAAAACCTTGTCCTCAAACTATTTTTTAATAATAAGTTTTTGATTTATAAAAATGTTTGTTTTTGTTTTAATTTTAGGAATCCCAGACATATCGGTTCAATGGTCTAGCATCGTTCAATTGTTCTTTCAAGCAGCTAAACATGATAACCCCACTTTGCGCAAAGAAGCCTTGGTTGGTCTCACCATTTTAGGTTCTACCCTGAATGAAGTTGAGAGTAAAAACCTGTTCAACTTGCTATGTGAAATGGTTGATGGAGAAAATTCTAAAGAAGTTCGGTGAGAAAATTTTCTGATGAATGGATTTTATTTATTCGTGAGATAAGAGGACCTCTTATATTTATTCTTTTCATTTTTCATTTAATTTCAGAGATCATTGCACACTCTGCCTAAAAGAGATGGCTTCTTTCCATTCCCATGATGTCATCAAGCATGTGCTGGCTGAAAAGTTGAACATTACTGGTGTGTGTTCCACTCAGAATTTTCTGTAAAGCTGTTTATTCTTATTTCACTTTGATCAATTACAACATTCTTGCCCCACAGATGTCCAGAGAGAAGATGTTCGATTTGAAAGGCATCTTGCAATCCAATGCAGCTTGGCTGCACTTCAACCATTTTCTGAATTAATTTTACCAAATGTCATTGACTTAGTAGTCCTTTCACATGATGAACATCAAGCTGTGTGTGCATTGACCCATTTGAGGTAGGTGTAATAATTTTCATTGTGCTTTGACTCTGTTCAACTTAAAAAGACATTCTCCTTGAAACACAGGGTGCTGCTTGAAGAATCTCAGAACAGCAATAGTCACGTATTTGAGTGCTTACATAAATGTGATTTTGTGCTCCGTGTCATCAAGTGGTGGTTCTCCAGTATTGACAAAGTCAATGGACCTGGTTTTGTCAATAGTGATGCCATACTCTCAGAGATGTGTCATGTTATAAGTGCTGTCATGAGGAACCTTAATCAGAGGTAATTGATTATAAAAATATTTTTTTGAATAATTGGCAAATTGTGGTGTTATACGAAGTGATGGTTGGTTGGATAAGTCATGAATTTAAAGAAACTAAACATAATTTTCTGTTCATAGGGAGCAAACACTTGTTCATGAAAAGACAGAGCCTCTCTTCAAGTCTTCAACAAAAGATGATATCCGAGCTGTAAGACATTGTCACTGCATAAGTAGCACCGTTGATTTGTTACAATCTTCCAATTATTTTCTTATTATTATTTGTTCAGGTTGATTTGTTAGAAGCTGTCTTGGGCTATCTTCATCCTGGTGTTGTTTTAAATGAAACTCGAGTACTCTGTCCCACACTTGCATTCATAGCAATTTTTCGCTCAGAACCAAAAACAGTGGTTTCAGCCAGCCGTCTACTAGCCAGCCTTATAAACAAAATTCCTGACGGTATATTTCACCCACATATAGCATATATTTGCTCCTGATCGCTCTGTTGGTTGAGAGCAGAGTGATTCTGTCTTGCTTTTCTTAAGTGCTTTTTGTCTTTTTTTCAGAAAATTTGTTGAATGAAATTTTGGCAGATGTATCAAAACTGCAGGATGAGGTTATTGGAAAAGACAACGAACAAGCAGCAGTACAAAGTACAGCGCTCTTGGGGTGGGTTATTAAGGGTCTGGCCATGCGTGGACATAGACAGCTGGAATCTTGGATTGATAAGGTATGGTTAAAATGTCTGTTACTTGTAATGTAATTCAGTGTTGATTAAATTTTACTCCTGTCTCATGTTTTAGCTTATCAACTTGGTTGGAGATTCTCGAAATTTAATTGCATTGTCTGCTGCTGGTGCATTTGAAGTCATCATGGCAGAGTCTCCTGTCTTTCTAAACAGGGAAAGCTACTGTGTCATAAGGTAACAATCAAGATCAAGATCTGAACAGAGTATCTACTTTCCTTTATCTTACTCGTATTTTCTTTTTCAGATTGCTCTACCGCCAAAGAGTTTTTGTGGGTTCTTTGAAGCTGATAAAAACTTCCAGAATGGTTCCAATTGAACAACGAAGTCCCTACTTAATGGCTTTCACAAATCTTTTGTCTGGTGTGCCACACAATGTCTTACACCCTCATTTGAAAGAGGTTTGTAGTGCTCTTAAATTGATTTTTATTTTGTGTTTATCATTATTTGATGGATATTTTTTACCAGGTCCTGCCCATGCTCTTGGAGTCTCTCTCCCAGAAATCTGTTTTGTTACTGCAAGCTGCTCTGGACGCCCTTCGGGGTCTGTTAGTTGACGAGAATTTCAGTAATGAATTGAGGGACCAGATACAATCCATTGTGCCTCGCCTTCTACCGCTAGCAGCCAATCAAGACTCGATTGCAGTTAGAAGAATGGCACTAAACTGCATGGTTCTGTTGAGTAAATTGCCCACAGAACTGTTGTTGCCATTTAGAAATGAGGTAACTATCAAAATGCTACTTTTGCAGTGTTTCAATCACATGTTCCTTAACTCCACAGGTTGAAATGAATCTTTTCTGCTTCAGGTGATAATTGGATTGGAATCCTGCCTCAATGACCCCAAGAGATTAGTGCGGAGGGATGCTGTGGTTGCCCTGTCTCGGTGGACTATGATGGACGCTCCAAGAGGCAAATAGTCATTGTGCCACTCAATGTTTTTATGCATACTCATTCCTCAATAAAATCATCATTATTTGCTACTACTTTTGTGCTTGTGCATTTTGTTTCCAATCAATACGTGGTTTAGAAAATAATGTTCAGACTTGAAACATGTTTACAAAATTAAAATGGTTTATTCAAAATTTAAAACAGAGAGTACAAATATCACATGAGTTATCCATACATTACACGGAATGATAAAGTTAAGCAGTTGTGCCACTCACATTTATAAAAGATTAAAAAATAGTTCACATAGAAAATATACACCTACATATTTACAGAAATTCCCAATAAGAAATTTTAACATTTCAGACTAGATACAACAATCAGGTAATACTAAAATCGCATTACAATATTTTATCCTTTGGTCCAGTACTCTTATTGTGGCTAACTTCTACATTGGAACTTCTTGTACTCCACCATCCTTTGAAAGTACTTCAAGATCAGTCTTATTTTTACCAAACATAGAGGGCTCCAGAGGATCAAGGGGTTCAGAGAATGCCTCAAGCTTGGATAAATTCTGAGTCATGTTACTATCTTCCAGGACATCATCTAGAAATATACTTCAGTTGAAAAAAAAGTTCAATTCATTTAAAATTGAGAGAAAAAAACGCACTAGAACATACCTTTATCCTTATCCTCAAGCTCGCCAATAAATTCAAATCCATTTCTCTCTTTGGCCGGATCATTAGAAAGGCGGTTATCGTATTTGGATTCATCACCTGATGGAGCAAACAATGAGAAGAAAGCGTATATTTGTAATTAGTACAAGGTTCTCACATTTTGAATCGTTACCTAATGAAACAATGACATAAGTAAGAAATAATTTTCAGCACTAATAATAAAGCTGCTTCGGTCAAGTGAGTTTTCTATAATGCACTTACCCTCTGAGTCATCTGAATTACTCAGATGCCACCAAGAAAGAGAGAACATCAAAAGAATAAAGAATAAGTTTGAGCTTATTCCAACAGCGGCCGATAGGATTGGCCAATGAAACATTAGGTAACGAAGACCAGTTAAGTGGGCATGGATAAATATAGTGGCAGAGTAAAGCTCCACGAATCGAGTTTTAATTTCAACTCGCACATCAGTCACAGGCTGATTCTGAAAACCAACACATGAAAAAGTAAGTTTCAAAGAAATGCAGCATGTAACTGTGACATTAAAAGTTTTCAGTATGAGAGCTGCAAACCTGATCTTCTTCAAAGTCAGAAAAGAGCTCCACTGTCACACTTTGCTTTTCTTCAGTTTGCCCAAGCACCATTAGTGGAGACATGGTGAGGGTCATGAGCGTTTCAAGCAGAGGACTACGGTAGTGCAGCATTGCTGATCTGCAGGCCTTGTCCACCTCAACTCCACTACGAACCCTCAAACTGGCACACACCATGAACATCCCTATGACAAAGTTAGACCATTCAGTACCATAACAACTTCATTCAGAAATCCTCTGGGAGCAGTTAATATGCGATGAAGCATACCCAGGTCTTTATTCACACGTGACTCTGGCATTTCCAGTTGAACGTATATTTTGTAGGGCTGTCCTACCATAAGTAGCTGATGCCTTTTAGTGAGGCGAACATCAGCAGTGGGAAAACTGCACAGACCTTTTCCGTCCCTGCATGCCCTACAACAGACAATAGTTAATGGCTAGTCAGAGTACAGATAAAAGTTTACTATACTTATTGATACATGTGATGAATACATACTCAAATTGTACGTGGATGGGTCTGACATGTGATATTGATGGCATGTAGGCGTAGTAAAAAGCTACATAGAGGAATATTGAAACCCAAACTATCATTGCAGTGAGGAGCCCAACCAGACCACCACGGAATGACAAAAGTCGCACATTCTCCACTCCTTTTTGAACTCCATCTTCTGCTTTCTGTCTGTAATGGGCCACATTTTTACCGATGGAACCCACAAAGGGAAGGCGTCTGAATAGACGCCAAAACAATCCTATCATCATCAGTCTTGGGTAATCTATGGAAAAGCAATGAAACAAAAGAGTTAATACCACATGAAATTTAAGAGAATCCAATAAAACACATGAGCATTTCTCCAGTGTTCACACCTTACAATGAGTGACTAGTTGAACAGCGACGTTCAGACAGCTCTTGGATCGGTGGCTTGTACTTTGAATGAGGTTACAGTCCACCGTACAGCCGTGCAGCGAGGGGCGAGGACGGTCCACTTGTTGGTCCCTACGATTCGATAAGACACACACGAAAGATAAAGGGCAGGAACGGATTACTTGGTCCTTCCAGACAAAACGGGGATGCTTCTCCGCCAGCCACTGTCAATGGCCCTTCGTGACATTGGCCAGATATGATTCGCTGATCAGATCGGATGTTGTTCGACTGGGACCGCACACGCAAAGAAAGAAAAACAACAAAACAACGACAAAAACAACAAGAAGGGGTAGCGGCCCGAAGCACCGAGCCGAGCACCGCCGAGCGAAGCCGAACTAAAGGCGGCAAAATTTGAAAGTGTGGATACGCTCTCTCAAACGTGGGGTGGGGCTTAAAAGCCCGATGGATTGCTAGTCACGGCCCATCTATCGGTTATATGTTTAAATTTTTTCTAAGAAAATCTGATTGTTTAGGAAAATTGCTGAGCAGTAAACAAGTGCCGTTTTGTTTTTCAGACGGCGAGAGCCCTTAGAGCGCACGAGCCGGGCACTCGTGACCGAGTCGTCACGACCGTTGGGCAAGTCGTGAGGTCTGTCTCTCTCGCAGCGGTGCGCAACGCCTCGTGAGTGCGAGAGAGACAGAGCGACGAGGCGCTGTGCGGAAGCGGCCTGCATCCCCGTAAACAAAACTACTATCAAAAGTAGTACTGTCGTACTACCATTTCGGAGCTCTGTACATCCCAAAATGTAGTACGGAAGGAGTACCTTATAAACAAAAAAGGCATCCGAAAGAAGTACTGCCGTGCTACATTTCAGGACGTCTCTTTGGGAGCACTTCGGGACGTCGGAAACGGTAGGTCTGTAGAGGTCTTTCGGAGGTCCCCACCACCCGTCGCAGCGCCCTGCGGCCATGTAGTTCCGAAGGTGACCGCTAGAGCGCGCACCTGTGTCGTAGTTCGATGGCCTGCCGCTAGGGTGCGCCACTGTTCCGGATAGAATGTGAATGCGTATAGGAATGTGAATATGACACAGATAAAATGTTAGGAAAAAGTATTTATTCACTGACCTTTTTTAAATTTAAAAAAGAAACGATAAGATTGTCACGAACAGCAGAAAATATGGAGACAAAAAAGGTGGACAGGACTAAAAAAAAAAATTTAAAAAAGGAATCTCGGTTGGACTGAAAAGAAAATACAGCAACCATAACTGAACACCCCTTGATTAAAAATAAGCCAAAAAGACTGAAAGAAATTCAATTAGCACTGATTTCCCAGGTGTCATGCTTACTTTGCTCTGTCGCAGGAAATTCACTTTAATTTTACACTGAAGCACAGGAGTCAGTTTTTTGTTCCACATGTAATTTCAAGTGGGCAGGTTATCGTTCCAGAATCTTGGGCAACTCCAGTGGGTCAAGGTTTCCGCAAAGAGCCCATTTCTCAAGCATAAAATCAGAAGACGAACAAAATAAACACTTTGACAAAAGAGTATCAAAGTAACAGAATTTGTAGGTTAACTTACACCGGTACTTTCTGATTTGGATTGAAACACGAAATAAGCCTGCACCAGGGTTTGAAGTATTCTTCTTATTGGTGCACCTGAGAACTGAACATCTTCGTGCGTGGTTTTTTTCTTTGGAGAAATGAATTTACTATAGTTAACAGAAAAATAAATAGAAGTAAGGATCCGACGCCACAAGCACAGTGCGCGCCAAAGTGCGCCGACTGTCATCTGCACAACAGGTGAGCATCGCGTGGGCCCGAGGCGCGCTCTAGCGGACTCACTCGGAACTACATGGCCGCAGGACGCTGCGACGGGTGTGGTGGGGGACCTCCCAAAAACCTCACATAGACCCACCGTTTCGGACGTCCCGAAGTGCTCCCAAAAACCGACTCCTTTGGGACGAGCGACCAGGGCGCGCTCTGGCGGCGAACTCTGGCACCACACACTAGGTCCCCCCGCGACGTACGAGAGAGCTTCATTTGTAGTACGTTTAGGGAGGTCCCGAAGAGCTCCCAAAACCGACTTCTTCGGGACGTCCGAAAGACGTCGGATTCCAGACATGTACTAGTTTTGTTTACGGGGATGTGCCTCACGGTCTCACGGTGCGTCACGGTGGGGCACACACGCCCCTGGCACTCCCTGTCCATCCCAGTCCACCATGCACCGCGTCGACGTCAACCTCTGCCTTCTGCTGTGCGCGGCGGCCGCCCTCTGCACCGCGGTGAGATAGAGAGAGAGAGGGAATGACCGCTTCCCGCGTGGCCGGCCCGTTTTGTCTCTTTGTCTGTTTGCGGCGGGGTTTGCTGTGTGGGACGCTGTGTGAGTGTATCCGCTTGGACGAATGCTCAGGTCGCCGCCCGTCCCTTGCTGCACGCGTACATGGGGAGCCTGGACTATGGCGGCCAGCCCCCTCACTACGAAAAGATGCGCCAGGTCAGCCGAGGGATGGGGCGGGACGGGTTGGCAGGGGCGCTACCTAATTCACGGAACCAAGTTTCGGAGTGTGTGTTCGGTAGAAGAGTGTCTCACCGACGGCTTCCTCCACAGGCCTCCCTGGATGACAAGCCGCAGACAACGAAGAGCGGCCCGGCCGCCCAGAAGCACCTCCACGGCTACATGGGCAGCCTGGACTACGGCGGCCAGCCGCCGAGCTACGAGACATACGAGGGCCGCGACTTCGACTTCAGCACCTGGCCCGTGGACCGGCGCGAGGGCGCCCCCGCGCCGCTGAAACTGGTCCACCCCGGAGCCGTGCGCCCCGTGCGCCCCGCCAAGCCTGGCACTGCTGGCACTGCCGGCAGCCCCGCCAAGCCGCGGCAGGCCGAGACGAAGCCCTCGCAACAAGGCCAGTCCCAGTCCCAGTCTTCTGGCTTCGGTCTTTTCGGCACCCTGTGTGTAAAGCCATAGTCGTGCGCGGGACTGCGGGGCTCTGGTCGTGCTCGCGTGGCGTCGCTAGCGCAGCCCTGCTCGCCTGCCTTGGTGCCTTGCCGGCGCGAGCACAGCCAGAGCCCCTCAGTGGAAGACGAGGCAAAGACACTGCCTCGGATACAAATCATGACACTTGCAATCTTTTGGTCGGTCCATCACACTGCAACTGTGCCCTCCCTCCTTGCCCTCCTCCAGGTTGAAAATCGCGGCCGGCGCGACCGAAGTCGTCGGCGACGCCGTGGGTCGCGTCGAGGTCGGCGTCGGCAAGGCCGTGAGGAAGCAGGTGAAGACAGTCAGCGACTGGCTCTTCAGGTAGTTGGAGGACGCCGTCGTGCAGCGCTCACGTGCCGGGCAAGCCGGGCAAGCCGGGCAAGCCACACCACTGGCCTGTCGAGCGGTGCCGCCTCGCCGCCCTCTCGTCGCTTTTCGAAATAAACACCTCGACTTCTAGTTTGCCTTTCTTTGCCCCTCCGCGCGGTTCCCGCCCGCTCATTCCCAGTGTAGACGGCCCCGTCCTCCGCCCTTCCATCCCTTCGGAGGCTGGAGGGGGCGGGGCGGGGGCGCGGCACGCAAGGGTGCGCGGGGCGGGGCGGGGTGGGGCGGCCGGATGGTCCGGCAGGGGGCGCCACCAAGCACCACTGGGACAAGGAGACGCCCAGGCCGCGCACGCCGTGAGACCCGCAACCCCTCCGCTCCGGAATCCGCTGGACCACGGCTGCCACCACGAGTTTGAATCTTTGAATCTGGGCTCTTGCCCCGAGGTTCAATCAGCGTCGCGCCCCCTGAGTGGTTCCTCTATAGAGCCTGCGTAATGCGTGATAGTCAATCGAGCAATCGCTGGCAAACGTCGAGAGCATCTCTCAGCACAGTGGGACCTGTTTCGGGGTGCGCGCCGAGCCGGCCGAGCCCCGCGCGGTGTATTCTGGGTGGTGGGGGAAGGCAAAGGGGTGCGGCCGCCAGTTGAGGCGCGGCTCTCCACTCTCCCTCGTCTCGTCTGCGTCGAGGTGGTCGAGGGGTGGGGCGTGGGGGTGGGTAGGCCCCCGTACCCCGGCCCCAGGCCCCAGCCAGCCCCAGCCCCCCAGCAGGCCGTGCTGCCTCCGAGCAGTGCAGCGCCGTTCGATTTCCCTCTCATCCCTGCGGGCCGGCCCGCGAGTGCGAGAGAGACAGCGCGGCGAAAGCGCCTTTCGGCAGCGGCCTGTTGGTGGCTGGTCCATGCGCATGGTCCATGCCGAGCGTCGAGGCACAGCCAGGCACAGCCAGGCGGGCCCAGCGTCTCGGCCGGAGCGGCAGGGCGGCAGTGTGGTGGACCCAGGACCCCGTTGCATCGCGGCTAGGTCCCGTCGCGTCACGCGCGCTGTCACGCCACTGTCACGCGCGCCGTCACGTCCGTCGTCACGTCCGTCACGCCAGGCGCACTGGCGTCACTTGGCCGCACGCGTCAGCCTCGCCACGCGCCGCCAGCAGCCATCACGGGGGTCCGTCTGAGCCGCATCAGGTGGGTACACGCCGCGAGGGCCGCGAAGCGAGGCGAGGCCCGATCCAAACAAAAACAATGGCAGTTGGACCGCGACGCCGCGCCGCCGCGCCGCGTCGGGGATGCGTCGCCTCCTGGCCGCTGACGCGGTGTCGCGGTGTCGCGGGGTCGCGGTGTCGCGGTGTCGCGGTGCCGCGGTGTCGCGGTGTCGCGGTGTCGCGGTGTCGCGGTGTCGCGGTGTCGCGGTGTCGCGGTGTCGCGGTGTCGAGGTGTCGCGGTGTCGAGGTGTCGCGGTGTCGCGGGGCGCCGCCGACGCGCGACGACGGCCAGGGGAATGACCCCGCGGCGGCCACGTGCGTGGCGAGGCGTGCGTCCTCCCGGTCCTCCGCGCCCCGAATCAATGTTCTCTCGGCGGCCGCGCCGTCACGACAACGACGCTGTGCTTGCAGGATGAACTCGTCCCGGACGGCCCGCCGTCCCGGCAGGAAGAGAAGCACCGCCGGCCACGGCGGCCACGGCGAGGGGGACGACGGCGGCGCCAGGGCGCGGCACCGGGACTCGGCGCCCCGCCATCTCCGCGAGCGACTGCCCGCCTGGTTCAGGGACATGGTGGACGGCCACCGGTGGCGGTCGCGGCGCGCCGGCCAGACGGACATGGACGAGTCGGAGCCGCCCCAGAGCCTCATCCAGTGCCAGTACTTCCACAAGGCCATCTACGGCGGCCCCGTCGCACCCATGCTGAGCATCTGCGCACCTGACTAAAACGTAATGACAAACACGACTTGGCTTGGCACCTGCTCGAGTATTGGAGATAAGACTCATTTCGAGCACTCGTGTAAATCTTGTCAGAATGTCAGAAACCTGCCTGAAAACCTGATCAAAGTTCGCGCACTTCTGAAATCTGAAAACATCTCCTGACATCCTGTAGAACTCAAACCATCAATATCAGAGGAAGTTTTCACAATTACAGCTTTTAGAAGTGCGCGAATTTTGATCAGGATCTCAGACCTGTTTCTGACTCTCTGACAACACTGCAATTTGGATGGAAAGACTTCACGCCAAAATATGGCGAGACATTAAAGTCTCGCCAAGATTTGGTCAGACCTGAAAGTCTCGCCAAAATTTGGTCAGACAAAAAAGTCTCGCCACAAAACGGTCATACACAAAAGTCTGACCCCAAAATGGCGAGACTTTTGTGTCTGACCACGGCCTTTAGACTGTAACCGTCCGGCGCATTACGGCCTTTCGGTGGTGGTGAGACACAAAAGTCTCGCCATTTTGGGGTCAGACTTTGGTGTATGACCGTTTTGTGGCGAGACTTTTATGTCTGACCAAATTTTGGCGAGACTTACAGGTCTGACCAAATCTTGGCGAGACTTTTATGTCTTGCCTCTGGAGTGGCGAGAAGTCTGACCTTTGGATTTGTAGTGAAAATTTACACGAGTGAGGTTCCATGTTTCACGATGATGACTTTACCCCTGTCTCTGTGTTCGGCAGATTCCCACTCCGTCCCAGAGCCTCACGAAGAGACTGGCGCGGAGAGACTACAATACGCTTAAGCAAGAGAATGTATCCCTTATCTTTTGTCATTTTTGTACACAAGTCTGCAACAACTTTGTAACACGTTCGCCTAACTTCGATTCCGAAGGCATTAAACGCAAGAGACCGACCAAACTACGTGTCGTTTCTTTACCAACCCCAAAGAAAATTCCACTGTAAACGCCACGAGCTCTCTTTTTAACTTTTTTGTGAGCTGTAGAGAAAGGGTTTTGGCCGGCGCAGTACGTCACGGACGCTACCAGAGACTACAGACGCTCCTAGCGGTGCCCTAGCGGTGCCCTAGCGGTGCCCTAGCGGTGCCCTAACAGCGGTGCCCTAGCGGTGCCCTAACAGCGGTGCCCTAACAGCGGTGCCCTAGCCGTGCCCTGGCGGTGCCCTAACAGCGGTGCCCTAGCGGTCCTAGCGGTGCCCTAGCGGTGCCCTAGCGGTGCCCTAGCCGTGCCCTAGCGGTGGCTTCGGCTTCGGGCCCTTCGGGGTGCAGCACAAACTTGGGAACTACTCAAAGTTGAAACCACTTGGAGGCGGCCGCGGCCAAGGCAGCGGCCGAGAAGACCCTCCCTCCCCTGCCGCACTGCCGCACGTGCTCCAGGGTCTCGTGGTGCGTCTCCAGCACCCAGCAGACTGACTCCGAGAGTCGTTTTCGTCGTTCTGTCTCTCTCGCACTCATGGGGCGTCGCGAGTAGGTGCGAGAGGGACAGAGCGACGAGAACGACTCTCAGAAATCAGTCTGCAGGTGGACGGGCCCCACCGCGTCGTCGGGCACGTGCACGCCCCTCGCGCGAACCGCCGCCCGCGGCCCCGCGGCCCCGCGGCCCCCAATTCCAAGAGGTGTCTCGTTTCACCGCCGAGCGCGGGCCGCGCAAGGTCGGGCGGTAAGCAGGACCGCCCGCCAGGACGCCAGGACCCAGCGCCGTGAGGTCATGGTCATGAGCTGCTGTCGGAGCTCGCGCGCTCGCTGACTGCTCGCTCACTCACTCACTCTTTCACTCACTCAACGCGTTCAGTCAGGCCGATGCTATACAGTAGTTGCGGGGGTCTGCTTCTGCTCTGCGCGGGTCTGACAGTGCTGTCCCGCCGACGACAGGGGCTGGGCTGGGCCGAACCCCGCGATGCGTACGCCAGGCGCCACCCCGCCACGTTCTTTTGTTTCATTCCTAGTCGTTAAAAATCAGTGAATATCAATTCGTCGTCTTGGCGATTTCATCAACCCGTTGGCCGAATTGAGGGTACGCCGCGGGGTGTAGATGTAAGCGCCTCGTCTCCCGCCTACAGCCCATCGAACTGCGTGAGCGATTCAGAAGACTCATGCGGTGCTCCGTCTCTGTCGCACTCGGGTGGCTCTCCGTTGGGGTGCGAGGGAGATGGAGCAACGGCGGGCCTGCACGCGTGGAGCCGGCGGCGATGAGGCTGTGTGGCTGCGTGGCCGCGTCTGCGTGGTCCTGCACGGCGTCGCGGGGCGTCGCGGGGCGTCGCGGGGCGTCGCGGGTCGCGGCGTCGGGGGCGTCGCGGGCTGTCGCGGGCGTCGCGGGGCGTCGCGGGGCGTCGCGGGGCGTCGCGGGGCGTCGCGGGGCGTCGCGGGGCGTCGCGGGGCGTCCGCGGGGCGTCGCGGGGCGTCGCGGGGCGTCGCGGGGGCGTCGCGGGGCGTCGCGGGGCGTCGCGGGGCGTCGCGGGGCGTCGCGGGGCGTCGCGGGGCGTCGCGGCCATGCGGCGTGGGGCCCGCGTGGGGTGGGGGCCCCCGCGGCCCCGGGGGTCGCCCCCGCCGGCTGGGGGACGGCCGGTCGATACCGCGGCGGGGCTGGGGCTGCCCGCGCCCCCGCCCCACCACGCCGCGCCCCGCCCCGCCCCGCCCGTGGCCGACCCACCCCACCCCACCCCGCCGCGCCCCGCCCCGCCACCCCGACGTGTAGCAAACTCGCGCCTTACACAAGTCCGACTGGAATAGTAGTGGTAGTCGCGCCCTCCGGTACGGCATGGCCGTGTGCTCCGTGCGGGAGCGAGCCCCGGGCGAGCGCTGGGTGAGCGCTGGGTGAGCGCCGGGAGCGCGCTGGGCGAGCGCCATGGACCTGGTGCCCAGGGCGGCGAGAGTGGCCCTCTGGCGTCGAAGGGGGTCTTTAGCGTCCCTACTCCGATTCGTACCGCTGCCCCTGCCCATCCGCAGGCGGTCAGGAGTAAGTGTCAAATGCCTTGCACAAACACGGACTCGCTGAAGCCAGCAAGCAGCGCAAAGCAGCGCCTGCAAACACACAGACCCGCGCCTGCACCCACGCGAGTAACTGTTTGAGCGCTTCGCGGCTTCGGCTTCGCTGCCCTACTCAATAGCCACTTGCGCGACGGCCGCGCCGCGCCCCGCCGCGCCCCGCCGCCCGCCACAGCCACTGCTTGCATCTACGGCGCCCTGCCGCGCCCTGCCCCGCCCTGCCTCAGCCTACGAGTCGCGGGTCCCCCTCCCCTCCCCCTCTGTGTGGGACCAGGGACAGGACAAGCCATCGGGACCAATACCGTCGAGCGCGGCCGAGTGGATCGTTTCCCTGCGAGACCTGTCGCCGCTCTCGAACGGCCGCATTACAAAGTCTGGAAATATGGAAAACGGCGGGACGCATTTCCCCTCCGCAACACGCGGCTGCTTTAAATATTTTTATGGCGGCCGTAAAATGTATGCGCGGCGGACAACGGGAAATCCATTTACATTTTATCCAACTCGGAGTGGCCCGGTCGGCGCACTTGAAGTGCACTTTGTTTGTGATTGCTGCTGGGGGATCGCCGCCAAATGGCCGCATCATTGGAGTGGGAGCGCTCCTGGCGGCGTCGCGCGATAACATCTTTCTTCTCCTTTTTTTTCGCACCGCCATAACACTTATGTTAGAACCACCTAATTAATTTGTTTGCTTGTTAAAAATGCAACCTGGAATTGGTGCCGTTTTTCCTTTAATTAAACCGGCATCCTGCACTGACTTTGCAAACATTTCAAAATATATAATCTTTTTGCGAGCTGAGTAACGTTTAAAAGTGTAACGGTAAAAAGAGAGAGAGAGAGAGAGAGAGAGAGAGAGAGAGAGAGAGAGAGAGAGAGAGAGAGAGAGAGAGAGAGAGAGAGAGAGAGAGAGAGAGAGAGAGAGAGAGAGAGAGAGAGAGAGAGAGAGAGAGAGAGAGAGAGAGCAGTGCTTCAGCAGCGGGGTCCAGGGTCCCAGGGGCTCGACGTAGGCCGCCCGCTCCACGCGGCTGCTCGGCGGCACGGCCTACCCCCGGGTTCGCAGGCGCTCCGGGAGAGAGCAAGAGCTAGCCAGAGGGCTGATTTCGCACAGCTCTGTCTCATTCGCACTCATGGAGTGTGTCGCATAGGAACGAGAGAGGCTGCCGCACGCTCCGACTGTGTAAATAGGCCGGACAGGGGCCGTGCATGAACCACGTGCAAAACACAGAAAATAAGAGGGGAGAATGCCTCCGCCCCATGATGGGTCGGAGGCTGGTTCTGAGCATTTGTTCTACGTTGCTGTTACGTAATTTCTGCACGGCCCCGCTAGACCAGTGGAGTGGCAGTGGCCGCGGAGTGTCGAGGCGAAGATAAGACACCAATAAAAGGACGCGCAGGGGTCGCAAAGTCGGAGGCCGAGTTTGTGTTTGCTCCGAGTCCCATTGGAACTCACTACAATGCGCGTCTGGATCGCGGTCTTGTTCGCGGCGTGCGCCCTGTCGGGCCGCGTCTGCTGGGCGGAGGTAATTGTTTTGAAACGGCAACAGCAAAGGGGGTGAAGGGAGCCGTGTTGTTGTTGTTCGTCGAGTAGGGGTGTTGCTGACTGACTGACGTTCATTGGGGGGATGTTTGACGCGTGCCGCAGGATGGCGACGACGATGACTCCGGCCTCGACGTCAACAGCATCGTGGACCAGCTGCTGGACGCGGCCCGCGCCGAGATCGCCAACCGGGGCATGGAGCAGGTGGCCCTGCCCGACATCACCGAGAAGTTCAAGCAGAAGGTCGGCCCCATCAAGATCACGGGCAAGTTCGAGGCGCGCAACGGCTGGGCCAAGTCGCTGGCGTCGCTGAGCCGCACCGGCGAGGCCGCCTTGTCCGAGGACGGCGACAAGATGATCGTGGACGTCCCGCTGGGCCTCACCGACCTGCAGATCGGGTGAGTCTTGAGTCAGCCATCCCAAAGGCATGCCAAAGGCGTCGGAGGGCGAGCCAACGGTTGCGTCCAGTTAGATGGGTGTCTATGGGTGCCTTGGGTGTCTGAGGGTGCCGGAGGTTGCCTGATGAAGTCGGCGCGCCGAGCTCTGATTGGCCGAAGCGAGCGTCGCTCGACCCACCAGACCCCCTCAGCCACCCAAGACACCCAAGCCACCCATAGACACCCATCTAACTGGACGCAACCAACCTACCGCCACCGCCATGTACTCACGGACTCCCCTTGACTCGCCCCGTCAGGTACAACTACAAGGCCAAGCTGGGCAAGCTCGGCCCGGGCGGCCACCTCACCGCCACGGTGGAGTCCAACACGGTGCACTTGCGCGCCAGCCTGCTCATCGACGACGAAGCCTGCGCCCTGGGCGTGGACTCGCTCGAGCTCACCGACCTGGGCAAGATCAAGGTGCACGCCACCGGCCTGGGCAAGCTCAACTTCCTCTACTCCAAGATCGTGACCTGGGTGACGGCCAAGCTGCACGACAAGATCAGCGAGGCGGTGCAAAAGGGCCTCAAGGACGCCATTGTCAAGGCGGGCCTGCACCTCGACTGCAGCTCCCTGTTCGGCATGTAAGCCAAAGTCAGAGCCACAAATAAAGTAAGCTTTCTTCTCTCTGCCAACTGTTGGAGTTCCTGTGCGTTTAAAAACGATCCCTATCAAGATGCGACATTTTTTCAATGGCTCTGAGAGTGAGTTGACTTGGTCGTCATTCATGTTTTCCAGGGTGTACAGATCTGTTCAGAAAAGGAACAAACAAGCATATACACTAAAAATTCAGTTTTATTTTTCACAGAACACATGGTGGAAGTACAGTACACATAAACACTGGACACAAATATCCAATTTTGACACTTCTGTTTTAAAACATAAAAATTGGAGGGGTTGATCTTGGCACATTAACAAGAAAGCATAAAGCACGACAAAAAGCAAGACCAAAGAAAAAAAGGTTTTCAAGTCTCGAACACAACCACAGTCCTTGCAGATATGACCAGAGTAGTCCTGCAATGGGATTATTATTATTTGACAAGTCTCAATAAGGCTGAGAGCAACGTTTGGACAGGCCAGTCAAATTTCAGACCCAATATTTTAATAGCCATTCCAATAAGTACATAAATTTCAAACATATTGTGTACACACAAT